GTAGTGATTAGATATGTGTAACACATATCCTGATCACCTCAGTTGATGAAAATTAAAAACCTCACCAACAGATTTCCCGCCTTTACCTAATACACTATGTCTAACGTCGATATTGGCCACTCGGTTTTTCCACGAAAGGCGAGTTGTGCTCTAAAGATACTTATGATCAAGATCATGTAGCCTACTTATGTCTTTTGATTTCAGATTAACGGCTGTAAAGTAAAACAAAGCTTTCTGAATCCATTTCGATGCTTTATCAAAAGCCAACATTAAATTGCTATTATTCAATAAGTTCAATAGTAACAGGGAATAATAACTATATGCGAGGTGTCTTGTATCAATTGTTGGATTTGGTGGTTTAAATTACAAAATTGTCTTGTTTAAGAGAACACTGAATACGAGGAATTATTTCTTGATTGGATATACACGTCAATTTTTTAAACATATGTAATACAGTGGCAAAGCGAAAAATAAGTAGAGACTCAGCTAAACATGACACTTAAAAAACTAAATAATCGCAGAATACGACTTTAAGAAGTGGTAATTTCAAAGAAGAACTCTTCTTTGCTATTAGCCATCAAAGATTGACGTTTTCATGTTTGTTATGAACCTTTCAGTGGAGTATACATTCAGTAATCCTATAGCTAAATCTATTGAGTATGAGCTCAACAGTTATTGATTTCTAATCTCGGTTGTAATACAGACTAACTGTCATTCAAAAACTCAATCATAGGTACTTTTTAGTGTCTTCTTCCAAAACATGTTTCATAAATTCCGACTGAAGTATATTTCTCATAGAACGGTTTCCCATCGAGTACTTAGGAGTGATGGATAATTACTTTATCTTAGTATATGACCCCACAATGGATGCTCACAATTCCATCATGGATCTAATCAAGGACCTGACTAGTGAAGATCATGTACATATGGAGTGAAACGGTTGTCACAAATACCACTGATTAATCGTCAAGCTACATCGTGATTTATAGGCAGATATTGATGGTGGCTAGCAGTGGAATCCAGGAAGCGCGTTTCGTCCAACTTGGGTCTCGTCAACTGGATGTACTCGCATTCCAGATTTGATGGGAGATTCAAACGGCTAATACGAAAATGAACTACATCGTGAACTGTTTAGAGTTGGAAATTTGTAGAGGCCAACCCTATAATTCTAACGATTAAGCAATCACTATATGGCTTGAAAGTTCTAATATAATCAGAAAACCTCCAATTAAAATATATCTCATTATTTGATAGGAATTAATTACAAAAATAAACTATGATATCGTTATATCTTCACATTGACAATTCATATATTGGGATTCCCGGTTAACCTATGGTAAATTACCTTTCGAATAATTGAAGATCTTTCTAATGCGATGCAACTATGGGAACCCGAATAGACCACACGTCCGTCACACAACAAAACTTCAGCGTTAATAATCCACAGGCTAAACAGAGATGGGTAGACTTATAGGGTAAATTTATATTCGATTTCGGCCTTAGAGAACGTGAAAAAACTTAACAGACTAAAAGCGTTGGCAACCAATCAGGAACTAAGAAGTAGGAAAATGTCGTCTAGATTACTTTTTAGAAAGAACACTAAATTGTCTGAACTTTTCGCAGCAGATATCTAGTTAAATTCAAATAAACCACTAATCATAGTTGTAATTGCATTTATTTTTCTAGCCAAATACACATTAGATTATTTTACCAAGACAGTCTACTAATACAATAACATTTTGCTAATTATGAATTCATTAAAAAATCGACCAAAAATCAACTTATAGACTATTCCATATGAGATATTTTCATTACTGTAACAATATATTCATAAACTGTATCAGGTACCTAGTAATATTATTTGTTTCAATGATTAATTATATTAATTCTAATAGTTCAGATAATAAGTTAATTGAAGCTAGACCATCATGGAAAACCTGGAAGCATTGGACTGCCGTTTTGTCCTATTGTGGGACTCCTCAGTAATGTATATCCACGATCCCGCCTTACGAAATTCAAACCCAGGACCTACCGGTTTCGTGAGCGAACGCTTAACCCCTTCTGATACTAATTAATTATATATTAAAAACAGAAGAAGATTGACAGAGTAGTCTGTAAACTTTTAAAAAAATGTGTAAATTTCTATAATTTTGAAAGTGTAACATTCCAATACTTCGTTAAGGATTAAAATATTTTAATCAGTAAGCACATTTAACCTAAATATATGATGAGCATATGTAACACAATTTACCTTTTATGTGATCTAAAAATAACCATCATAGTCTACCGAACAGTTATGATGACATAAGAATCTATCTTATTCTACGTAACTTAGTAATAATCTTCTTACCTGTTAACTTGAAAGTGAATTGATGATTTAATGAATTAAAGCAATCAATTTTCAGTCATCAGGTTTTTAAGTCTCAACTTTTCACCAATTTCAATATGGAAAACTGAACAATATAATTAACCTATGCATAAATAAAACTCCACCTGGAGCCCCTCTGGGGCTACTGCCAGTCCCAAGCCTGTACTTGATAACTGAGTAAAATGTAAAGTTTAAGTATCACTTAAAGTTTTATTACAATCATGAATCGTTATAATTTCAATTGTACAGCTCTAATTACACCATAACTAAGTTTGTAAATTAAATATATTTTGAATGAAAATATATAAAATTGACTTTCAGCTTATGTCTAGATTGGATGTTTTAATATTTCAGTAATGAATTATTTGGTAAAAAAAAAAGGAAACTAACCGAAGTAACGAGCAATCAGTGTAAAGGCGAAATATTAACCGCTAACGTGTTTAAACTTAGATGATGTCATATTTCATATCGCAGCTTTTAAAGTGACCTCTTTATCCATGAATCAATTATACAGTTAAAACGTTTTATTCAACCAATAAACATTGATGGAAGCATTTTAACAGTTCCATGAAAGACTAATAAAACTTGAGTAAAACATTTCATCGTATAGGTACAGCTCTTTTCATAGTGTGACATGGCTAAACTCCTCAGGTAACAAATATAGGTGTGTATATCTTCTGTATTGATGTATATCTTCTTCATGTTGTCAAAGTATGTAACAGTCTTTCCTCTGAAATGAAATGGTCAAATGATTTTACAGTACGAGAAATTACCACTATGTTGTGTTAAGCTGTGACTGGGGGGGGGCTTCTGCCGGTCCCAAGCCCGGATAAAGGAGGAGGTTTGGGTATAGAGTTAGCAACCACATATCGTACAAAGCTAACTCGCTAAATAAACGCTGACCAGAAAAAATTATTCAGACATTTTAAACTCTGCCCTGGGAATCAGGTCTTCGTTTAGAAGAGTTATGACGCCTCATCACGAAAGCCGAGTTCTTTCGGAAGTCACGAGGCCGATGCCTCTTCTGGCAACCACAGCAACCATTAATTTAGGTACATGGAATGCTCGTACAATGTGGGAGAGTCTTCCAAATCGCTGCAGAGATGAGGAGATGCAACCTAGAGGTGCTTGGGATCAGTGAAAAACATTGGACGCAAGTCGGACAACAACGACTAGCTTTAGGAGGGCTTCTGTTATACTCCGGCCATGAAGAAGAAAATGCCCCAACAAGGTCAGGATTTTCAATACAAATGTCGAGACAGTTCTACTGTATGGGGCGGAAACTTGGAGAACTACGAAAGCCCTCATCATCCAGAAGATACAGGTGTTTATTAACAGTTGTCTACGTAAAATACTTCGGATCCGTTTGCCGGACACTATTAGCAACAACCTACTGTGGAAGAGAACAAACCAGACTCCAATGGAGGAAGAAATCAGGAAGAAGCGCTGGAAGTGGATAGGACACACATTGAGGAAAGCAACCAACTGTGTCACAAGACAAGCCTTCACATGGAATCCTCAAGGCCAAAGGAGAATAGGAAGACCAAAGAACACATTACGCCGGGAAAGAGAGATAGACATGAGAAAAATGACCAAGAATTGGATGGAACTAGAAAAGAAGGTTCAGGACAGAGTGGGTTGGAGAATGCTGGTCGGCGGCCTATGCTCCATTAAGAATAACAGGCGTAAGTAAGTAAGTAACTATTCTTTACAATTGACAAAATAACAATCTATGGTAATTAAATCCTTTATACTTACTGACTTGATTAACACTTAATATAAACTGAAGTTGAATAAAACTTTTCTATTTACTTATCATATTAATGGCATCACGTTCAACGTACTGTCCACTTATACACAGATTAAGTTAAACCTGAAAATAAACTTGACTACAATGAATTTTCTGACAATAGAAATCAATCGATAAAAGGTCGAATAAAAATATAAAAAAATTATCATATAAGAGATTATTATCAGAAGGGGTTTGTGGAGATTTTAGAAATTTCACAGATTGAAATCATGAGTCAATTGAAGCTAGACCACCATGGAAAACCTCGAAACACTGGACGGCCGTTTCGTCCTAGTATGGGACTCCTCAACAGTGCGCATCCACGATGAGCAATCTGTGAAATCTCTAAAATCTCTACAAACCCCTTCTGATAATAATCATCTGCTCACTAGTGACTGACTTCAAGAGATACTTCTGGAGTTCTAGTGAGAAGCCGTTACCAGTGGAGTTCAACCAGGTCTGTTGTGAGATAAAAACTCACTGAAGACAATGGTGTATGGTAGCGCAACTTCGTGGATTGGTTGAAGTTAGACATTAACACCATTGGATACCGGCCGACTCAGTGGTCTAGTCGGCTAAGCGCTTGGCTCGAGACTGATATGTCGTAGGTTGGGATCTCGCGGGGTGCGGGATCGTGGATGCTCGCTACTAGAGTGAAACGGCCGTCCAGTGTTTCGAGATTTTCCATGGTGGTCTAGCTTCAATTGACTCATGGTTTCAATTTGTGAAATATAAGAGATTATGCAACATAATGTACATTCATGTAATTTAGCGTACAAGTTATTTTGCTAGTAATCATTCTATTCATTATTACTATACTTCTTTTTCTACTGGCTTTGTAAATCATATGACATTATTATTACTAGTAGTAATAGTAGTAGTAGTAGTAGTAGTAGTAGTAGTAGTAGTAGTAGTAGTAGTAGTAGTAGCAGTAGTATTGGATGCCAAACTATTTGTAATCCAATATATGAATGACATAAATGACTTCAATTACAATTATAATCATTATTCACCATCTATTCGTTGAAGCATTTACTAGTAATACGTCATTAATGTTCATTGAGTGATGAATTACAGGAGTTTTTGTTTGTATATGTGTATAACCCATGTTATATTTTTCTATGAAAATGCTGTATTGAATTTAGCTATCCATGGATAACTAAGGCCTGTAAAAGTGTATGTAGAGGAGAGAGAGAGAATAAATTGTGGAGAATGATGAAAAATAGAGTTATTTGTATAGTTGATGATGAATCAAATATGCTAAAATGAAATAGAGAAACATTATGTTTCAACAGGGGCACTGTTATATACAAGGATCTAAGTATAACCAAATGAAATGCTGACGGTTGGAATAGAATCCATAAATATCTTATTCGGTTTAATTAATGGAAAAGTCGTATTGTATGAGTTGGATAAAGCAGTTTTAGACAAATAGGATACACCTCGTGTTAAGTAAACAATAGATCATGGTTTTTAAGATTGGACTGATTTAATATTTTATTTAACCCTTATCTTTCTTGCATGATTTACCCCATTTAGTAATATATATTAAGCTTCATGGAATTGACTGACTTTATTTAGACAGAAATTAAAAACGAGTTAGTACTAGAAAGTTGTTTTATGCTGGTATTTTGAATCCTCAGAAGTACTCTTCCACAAACCTATCATAGATCGGAATCAAGACAGTGAAATCACACTGTGGTTGGCTAACATTTCAATCAGCGAGTTGCCATCCAGTTAGTTAAGTTTCTAACTTTGGTTAGTTTGAGATATTATAGTCATTATTCATTGTTGTCTGTGATATTTGTCTCACACCCGATGTGTTTAAATAGGAGGGTATAGATTCAACAGATTGTAGAATGTAGGAATATTTTATTCATGAAAAATTAGAATCATTAGGCGTTACTTAGATATAATATTATTTGTATCAGAAGGGGTTTTGTGGATAGTTGAGATCCTGAGTAAATTGAAGCGAGACGGGATCGTGGATGCGCACTGCTGAGGAGTCCCACAATAAGACGGAATGGATGTCCAGTGCTTCCAGGTTTTCCATGGTGGTCTAGTTTTAATTGACTCATGATCTCAACTATTAAAATTACTATAATATTATTTACTGTATTGAGCTTATCGTTACGTTTTGAAAAGTATGTAGGACCAATGAAATACCACTGGGCTGTAACCAAATCATCCGACAGTAAGATCACTAAATTTCGGACAGTTTGCTGACTCCACCAACGTGTATCACTTCACTACACGCCATGGAAAGGAGAAGACGGAAGTGACCCCACTCTTTCTTGTACCTATTCTCACTAATACATTTCTATAACGGCGTTATGTTTGCACTATACGTTTATCAAAGTAGCTATAGTACCTGGATACAACAAAAAAGTAATACAAATTGAGTATTTACTGCGAGGTGTAATTTCGATGTAAGCTGTGAAGTCACAACATTCTCGTCCAACTCGAGTAGGCCCGTGATTATCCAGAGAGATCGCTTGCATTGGAGATCTACAGGTCAATTATACATCTATATTCCCTTCCTTTAAGATTCTCACTGCTCATTAAATTTCCATACTATTATAAAAGATAATTCTTTTTAAAAGTATTTTGTAGAGATAAACAAAGATGGATAATGGCTAGCAGTGCAATCCAGGACGTGCTTTTCGTTCTATTTGGAACTTGTCAGCTAGATGTAACTGTATCTCAGAGTTGATGTTCATTCTGGGACTTGAACTCAATACCGTTGGCTTCAAATTCCATTCAGTTCTGTTATAAATTAATAAATCACTGGAAAAATCAATAAATCATAAACCGCTATCTTACCCTACCACTCAGATTTATTAGCAGTATATAAACTATAATTTTGCAAGACATTGATTGAATTAATAACTTTTATTCTTCATATAAAGAATAATAGTACAGAACGACTTCAACTGTATACTAGTTGAGATTAGTCAATATTATTTATTGACTAGTTGTTTCACACAGAAGTATGTTGGTAACTGAAGAAAGTCAATAGCAAGTTGAACATTGCTTACATATAAAGGTCAGACTAATTCACTAGCATAGTTCAAAACTAACATTCTTCTTAGATAAAAATTCTCTGCTCTAAGTGTCCTTATAAAAAGTGCTCATTTCTGACTACTGTGTTGGTGTTTTAATATATGTCGTTTTTAGTTACATTATTGCTATGTGCCAAGTTAATAAATATTTATTAGTGGATTAAAGCTAGACCATCATAGTAAACCTGGAAACATTTGATGGCTGTTTCATCCTAGCATGGGACTCCTCATCAGTGCAGACTTCTGAGAAGTCACATACTAGGATGAAACAGTCGTCCAGTGCTTCCAGGTTTACCATAGTGGTCTAGCTTTAATCGACTCATGAACTCAATTAAAACTCGATAATCTCCACAACCCTATACTGATAAAATAATTATTAGCTTATGGATTATTATTAACTACCTTGCCTGTTCTGTATAGGTTATTGACACTTTATTTATGATTCGGCGTAAAAATATTGACTTTATGATAATATTTCTGAGCATTTCTAAATAAAACTGCATAGTGGCTTAAGGTGGAGTTCAGGGCACGCATCTCACTGCGTTGATGTTCATCAATGAACTCAGTGGTTACGCAAATAACGATTTGAGCGTTAGAAGAGAAATGTACTAAGTCCAAGTCACACTGGAATCCAGATAAATCTAGCTGGCAAATTGCAAATCAGGAAAACTCAACATCCTGGACTCTTCGGCTAGTCAATAATTTTAATTTGCTTGAAAATACTTGGGATTTAATGGAAATATCAGGGAAATCCGCTCAGGATCCTAAAAGAGATTGGTCAATCCCAGTCCTTAACATCAATAACGGATAGATACGAATACTTACGAATGAAATTTCTGGCTATTCACTTCGTGTTTTTTTCTGTAAAAAATGGGTGTCTATCATTAAGGATTTTTAAGATACGTAGTAGTGATAATGAAAATATTAACTCTTAAAGAACATCATATAAACGTTATTCTTATCATCAGCTAAGGATCTTTCGTATCATTTCAAGACAGTTAACTTAGATTACAATAGATGATGGTGAATCAATATGGTGAACTGATTTAAGCTGACAATGTAAGTCATTGGATACTAATTTAGTTGGTCATATTAGCATGAAACTTGGCATGAATGTGAACTAGTTCGGGTTACCACATCTTATCAGATAAAGCTATCAAGACAGATGTTTGAATAGTAGAAGTAGTAACAGTACCAGTGGTAGTAGAAAAAAACTAGGTGTAGAGAAGATGACTCAAGAATAAAGAATAAATTAGCGAGATAAAAAGTGAAAGGTAATTTCGAAACTCACGATTTAAGAGACGAGGAAGAGCGAATAAATTCACACCGTCAATACAGTTTTTAACAATGTCGTCTAGTGTCCGCAACTATTAAGTGCGATAATCTTGTGGACCCCAATCATGTAGTATGAACCTACCAACATCAGTCTAATAGTCAGTCATTTCATGAAATGATACCATATCTCGGTCTGACCATCTGTAGTTTTCTTCTAATCCAATTTTACACCAGGTAACATCATATATTAGGGTAGATGTGTTTCAATCACCTTATTCACCGAAAACCACTGATAATTCACTTTCTTTAGTGTTCGTAGACCTAGCACTAATGTACTAAAACGAAATATCTATCCAGTATCCCATTGTTCATAATATTTATCTAGGCAAATTCAATTTGTGACGTTACCTATATTCAAATGAAGCAACTTGCATAAGCCTAATGTTATATATGTTATAAATAGGACAAACTAGTTCTTGGGACCAGAGGCAAACTCAAATTCTTACGACACAAGGAAAAAGACCAAGACTGATGACAGATGAAGATTTTATTTATCCTTCAAAAAAAATAACAGGACAACAATCCTTACTAACTAACTAGACTCATTCTTGTATAGATTGTACTGACATGTGATAATTAGTCACTGAATATATCATGTAGAAAGCAGAAACAAATATAGCTGTGGAATAACATGAATTCATTTTAGTTCTCTAGATTCATATCATAATATGCTTAAATCAAGCTTATGAGATTTTTGATTGAGATCATGAACCGATTGATGTTAGGCCACCATTGAAAACCTGGAAGCAGTGGACGGCCATTTCGTCCTATTGTGGGACTCCTCAGCAGTGCGCATCCACGATGAGCAATCTGTGAAATTTCTAAAATATCCACAAACCCCTTCTGATAATAATCATCTGCTCACTAGTGACTGACTTCAAGAGATACTCCTGGAGTTCTAGTGAGAAGTCATTACCAGTGGAGTTCAACCAGGTTTGTTGTGAGATAAAAACTCACTGAAGACAATGGTGTAATGTGGCGCGACTTCATGGACTGGTTGAAGTTAGACATTAACACTATTGGATACCGGCCGGCTCAGTGGTCTAGTTGGTTAAGCGCTTGGCGCGAGAGTGGAACTTGACGTTCTATTAATCACCTTTTTATCTTTTAATCATTACACTTTGTTCTACTTAAGGAATATCATAATTGAATGAACATAGAATATGACACTTTCTTCTATTTAGCCTGATACTGTAAAAATAACTGTTATCTATTATAATTTATAATTATTCGTTTTACAAAAGCATGTGGTTATTTGATTGATATCATAATTAAGTAAAACATTTTATACCATTTTCACAAACAGTAGGGGGTTTTCAAATGTACTAATGCGCTTGTTGATATTATATACATAAAAAGCACTGCTGATATATATATTAGAATAATAATAAATCATTATTAGATGGATTTACGTAAAGGCAAGTGTACTTAACAGTCACATGGGTTAAACATAATACGTTAAATGTAGAAAAATATTATACAAGCTCAGTTCATAATACAATATTATTATATCTGAATATTCAATGGTCTTTATCATATGTATATAACAAATTGTTAATGTTTAAAGTTGTACAATCCACCTTTTTAAGCACCTATATATTAAGAATTAGGTAGTTGATATGGATAACACCAATCCAATCACATTTGATGGCGAAACTGTGGAAGATTTGGAATCTTTCATGTATCTGGGAAGGATCATCGATAAACAAGG